CTTCTCTTCTTATGCTACATCAATGACATCTTTATGATCTGGACGCATGGCCAAGAAACACTGGAGAGGTTCCACAGAGATTTCAACAACCTACACCCCACCATTAACCTCAGCCTGGACCATTCCACACGAGAGATCCATTTCCTGGACACCACAGTACAAATCAACAATGGAAAATTAGACACCACCCTCTACAGAAAACCCACTGACTCATACAGTTACCTACATGCTTCCAGCTCCCATCCAGCACACACCATACAATCCATCATCTATAGCCAAGCCCTTTGATACAACCGCATCTGCTCTAATCCCACTGACAGAGACCAGAAACTTCAGGATCTCTACCAAGCATTTATAAACCTCAACTACCCACCCGGAGAAATAAAAAAGCAAATTGAAAGAGCCAGAAGAATACCTAGAAACCAACTACTTCAAGACAAACCCAAGAAAACCAACAATACAACACCACTTGTCATCAGCTACAGTCCCCAACTTAAACCCGTCCAACACATTATCAATAAACTACAGCCCATACTGGAACAGGATATTAAACTCCGAGAGGCTCTGGGAGACAGACCCATAGTCTCCTATAGACAACCACCTAACCTCAAGATGATTCTTACCAACAACCACAGGACATACCACACTAATACCAACCCTGGTACCTTCCCTTGCAACAAACCCCGTTGCCAGCTTTGTCCACATATTCATTCTGCTGATACCATTATTGGGCCTAACCAAGTGAGTTATAAGATCGAGAATACATATTCCTGCGCATCCAGAAATATAATCTATGCTATCATGTGCCGAAAGTGTCCGTCTGCTATGTACATTGGACAAACATCTCAGACACTTCGCCAAAGGATTAATGCCCACAAAACAGATATCAGACAAGATCACAACGTCTAAGACACTTTGCCAAAGGATCAATGCCCACAAAACAGACATTAGGATCACAAAGAAAAAAGTTTCTTGCCATTTCAACCAGAAAGGACATTGTCTCAACGACCTAAATACCTGCATCCTACTCCAGAAGACTTTCAAATCTGCACTTGAAAGGGAATCCTCTGAACTGTCATTCATGCTAAAATTCGACACTCTCTGCAGGGGGCTCAACAAAGACCCTAGTTCCCCAATTATCACCTCTAATATTATTAGCTCAGACATTTAACTCCCCCCTCCCCATCCCCTTTCTGTTCTGAAATGTGATTTGTCCTTTTCATATGTGTTCATTTTTTTTAATTGTATCCTTTGGTATATATGGTTGTGACTATTTTCTTCCACTATTTGATCTGAGGAAGTGGGTCTGGCCCATGAAAGCTCATCACCTAATAAACCATCTTGTTAGTCTTTAAACTGCTACATAGTCCTGTTTTTTGTTTGGGATTCTATGTCTTTCTCTGTTTCTATGGTAACAAAATATTTTGATATACTCGAATGCAGAGCTGTCCAATGGGAACGCAGGGCTCTGTGGTGGGCAGGAAAGCGTGTTGAGTGCCGGCCTGAGCCCTAGATGAGGGCACCGTGAAATGGATCAATGGGACCCTGGACGGGATTCAGAGTTTAGCCGGGTTCACCGGGAGCTCCCAGTGCCGGGCTGTGGCCAAGGGACGCTGGGATTCCTGGTCGTGTGAACAGGAGAGCTGAGAGCTGGCGCAGGGGCAGGGTTTCCCCCATGCACACGGCATCAGTGAAAGCGATTGGGTGAGATCACTGGACCCGAACTGGGAGCGGGGGAGGAAAAGAGCCGCACAGATGGAGGGAGGCTGCGTCAAATCCCATCCAGAGAGAGACCCAAACCCTCATCTCATTATCGTATCAAACTAGGCTCAGGCAGAGACTGGGCTGGGGCGGAACCACCGGGAATGTCGGGCGCTGGGATCTCACCGAGATGAGAAGCACCAGGCCCAGAGGCTGGAGGCTGAAGCCGGACAAATTCCAGCTGGAAATGCACCCTGCGGAGAAACTAGAAGGGGAAAGGCTGGATTCCCCAACTCCCCGTGCTGGCAGAGCCAGGCCGGATGCTTTTCTGGACATTGGCTTGAGGGGCTGTTGGCACTGAAACCATCACAGCAGTATGGCCATGGCGCTTCAGTGAGACCCTGGGAACACTGATCTTGCCTCCGCTGAAAAGTGGGTTCAATGGTTACAGTGCGGAGCCCTGGCACCTCCAAACTTCCCAGCAGGCTAACGGCAGAAAGAAGCCCCCACGACCAGACAGAGCCCTGACATGCCGGAGGGGGAGGGGACAGCGTCTGTACAGGGACATGCAGCTGCTTCCTCAGCTCTTTCCTCACCTCTGATTCCAAG